CAGGTGTTGAGAGCCCTGAGCCGCCCTTCCCGCGAGGCCATGCCCAGCACCGTCTTGACGATCAGGATGTAGGACAGGAAGATGAAGAGGGAGTCGAGCCCGAAAGTAGAGAGCACCACAAACAAGCCGCAGTGGCTGTTGAGTGTGGTGTCGGCACACGGAAGCCGGATTAAGTCTGGGTGCAGGCAGAAGGCGTGGGCGAGGGAGTTGGCTCTGCAAAAGGGCAGCCTCCTGAGGAGAAGAGGCAAGGGGACCATAACGACGACGCTCCGCACGGCAATGCCCAGACCGATCAGGGCGACCCTGGGGTGGGTCAGGAGGGTGGCGTACTGGAGGGGGCTGTAGATGGCGACGAGGCGGTCCAGAGCCATGGCCCAGAGGACCCCGGAGTCCATGATGGAGAAGTAGTGGATGAAGAACATCTGGGCCAGGCAGGCGTCCGCCCCGATCTCTCTGGCACCGAACAGGAAGACGCTCGCCACAGTGGGGAGGGTGGAGACGGACATGCCCAGTTCGGCCACGGCCAGCATGGAGAGGTAGAAGTAGCATGTGGGCCTGTGGAGGCCGGGGACCCTCACGACCACAAGAAGGATGGCGGCATTCCCCAAGAAGGCCGCTGCGTACAGGGAGCAAAAAGGGACGGCGAGCCAGGCGCCTTTGGCCTCCAGGCCCGGGATGCCAGCCAGGGGGAAGGGGGTCGGGGCAGAGCTCTTGTTCCGGCGTGCCCCCACGACATCGGACATCCTCCCATTCATCACCTGCATGTATGGAAGCACACCAGTTCAGTCTAGCACAGTGGGGATGGGGGGAGCTTGGCTGCTTTGTGACGTATGACTTGAAGTTTCCTATCAACCTCCATTGTGAGATCTTTTTCGAAGCATGGAATCACAGAGTGGGAAGGGACCATAGAGGGCATCTAGTCCAGCCCTCCGCTCAGGGCAGGATCTGCCTTGAGCATCCCTGAGGAATGTTTGTCCAGCCGCTGCCTACAGGCGGCCAGGGAGGGGGAGCTCTCCACCTCCCCAGGGAGCTGATTCCACCCTTGCACAACTCTGACTGTCAAAAGGTTTCCCTAAAATCCAGCCGGTCCCTCCCCGCCCCTAATTTAAGCCCATTCTTGCGATCCCTCTCCTCTGCTGCCGACAGGAGCACCTCCCTGCCCTCCTCCTCTGAGTGACAAAGCCCTTCGAAGACTGCGAGAGAGCCACCCACCCTGTCCCCCCTCCGCCTCCTCTTCTCCAGACTGAACCTTCCCAAGAAGTCCCTCAGCCTTTCCTCGCAGGGCTTGGCCTGTTTTTGTGATCGATCAGATCCGGTGTCTTTCGTTCAATGTGTAAAGGGCAGCACAAGACAAGCGGGATTTCATGCACCACATTGTATATTTTAATGGCAATGAGATTTACATCCATGACACCGGAGTGGAGCTTTAGAAACAAAAAATGAAGGGCTTCTTGGTTTGTGGGGGCACACAGACGAATGGCTCGCCCAAAGCCCATGCCCCAGCCAGACCCCTCCCTACAGCACAGCCCTCTGGAAGGGAAACTGGGGGGCCCATTCTCTGTGGCCTACCTGTCAACTTCACCCAAGGATGATCCGTTGTGGTCTGTTGTTTTTTCTGATGAGCCCCTCGTTGTCCTGGGTTGTGAGAAAGCTACTTTTTTGTGAGTGTGTGAAAGTTATCTGCAAGCAGCAGACCGGGGAGGGGGAGGCGAAGTTGAGGGAAGGAGCCCCTCCCGGCACGTCGCCCCTCCCCACCCCAGGCATCCTTGGGCTCTGCTGGAAGGGGCCATAGAGGCCATCTAGTCGTCCAACCCTACCCTCAGTGCAGGAGCAGCCGAGGGTTTGTC